CTTACATACTTGAAGACATAACACTCATACGTGTAAAATAAAAATAAAGTTTTATAGATTAAAGATAGCATTTATTTGTGAAGGAGAACATACAAATTTTGCCTTTCTGTATCTGGGTTTCCTCACTTAGAAAGATCATTCCCATTTCTATCCATGTACCTGAAAATTTCATAATTATATTTTTCTTAGCAGGTGCAGGATATTTCATTGTGTAAATGCACTATACTTTCATTATCCATTGATTAAGACATTCAGCAAAATAGCAGAATATAAAATTAAAACACAAAACCTGTAGCCTTCCTATGTAACATCAATAATATAATAAGAAAGATATTAGGGAAATGATCTGATTCACACTAGACTCAAATCAAAAGAAATATCTTTGAATAAATATAATTAAGGACATGAAGGACTATGCTAAAAATTAAAAAATTGAAGAAAACGTTTAAGAAGATACCAGAAGATGTAAAGATCACACATGCTCATGGATGAATACAATTAATACTGCCAAAATTGTCATCATCATAAAAGCATTCTACAGATTCAACACAATCTCCACTAAAATGTCATCAAAATTTTTCAAAAAAATGAAAAAAATAAAGTTCACATTTCATATGAAAATATACAAAATTCAGAATAGCTAAAACAATCCTGAAAAATAAAAGGAAAAATAGAGTCACTGTCCTCCTTGAATTCAAGTTGTATTGCAGACCTCTGGTACAACCAGAGGGAAATGTATTAGTGCAAAAGCTTACTGGAAAATACAAGTGAAATACATATGATTGCATGCGTATAGCTGAAGGCTATGCCATAACAACAACCACAAAACTCCAGAGAACCATGTAAAGGAAACCTATCTTGTGTTGTTGGTCAGGGTATTCCAATATGTAAGGGGCTGCCAAAATAGTACAGGCAATTGCCATAGATCTTGATAGCATCCCAGAATATAAAGGTAAGATCCTATTGATGGAGGCAAGACCATAGCTCTCTAATTCTATGTAAGCTCTTCTTAATGAGAGGGAACTCATGTATGGTTCTGTAATATAGCCAAATACACATGGCTGGAGATGGCATAGAAACTAGATAAAATTTACTTTTTTCAAAATCCTAGACCAATATTATTTCTTAGTATATCGAAATTTGAATCCTCATATTTACAGAGAATTTTACATCACACCATTTATCAAAGAATGGCCTTTGGGCAACAGATGGAGACAATTACAAAGTTCTATCACTAGTCAAACACAGAGCATAAGTGTCTTTGAAGTGTCTATCCATAACTGACACATCTACATTGCAATCTCTACACCTAAGACTCAGGGAATATGGTGTAACAGGGGGTGAAAAGAACATTACTGCATCTCTCAACTCTTACCACTGAAACTTCCACATGCAACAGGTGATAATTAACCCAGAAAGTCACAAGTTGTCAAAGAGGCTGCAAAGTGTTTTTCCCTGAATAGGACACCTACATCAAACCTAGGCCACCCAGGACTCAGGATTGAAGACAATGGGGGCAAAAAGTTGTAAGAGGTGATGGATCACCACAAGGAAACAGAGCTTTCCAAACAGCAGAAGAGCTACTTGTATGAACTCACCATAATGATGACAGCATGCACAAGACCACACAGACTCACATCAGACAAAATCCCAGCATAGAAGTGGAGAAGTGCTAAGAAGCCCCAACATTATCTAAGGTACTATTGGCAACTTATAAATGCTGGGAGAAGGAGAGTTGGTTTTTTTTGAGGGTATGTCACTAGATAGCTGAACCAGGATCTAGTGGATGGCCCCACACCTAAGGGCTATTGAGGAGAGAAATGTTCCATGATAGGCCTTAATATATATGATATATGATAAAGTATAGGAAATCAGGTGGGGGGGTGTATAAAAGGATGCAGATAGTGCAAGTGGTCTAAATATAATAAAAGTAAACTGTATGAAATTGTCAAAAAATCAATAAAAACATTAAAAAATAAAACAGTATGGTAATTGCATAAAAACATCGATCAATGCAATATCATTGAGAATCCAGATTTTTGCAAGGCACTTAGAGTCACCTGATTTTTGAAAAAGTATCCAAAAATACACACTGAAATAAGACAGCATGTTCATCAAATGATGTTAGCCACCTGGATAGCTGCATGTAGAAGAACGAAATTAGATCCCCATCTCTTACCCTGCATAGTCCTCAATTCCAAATGGATCAAGGACCCCAATGTAAAGCCTGATATTTTGAATCAGATGGATGTTAAAGTAAAGAAAGCACTGGAACTTAAAATCACAGAAAAGGACTTCCGGAACAGGACTGTAGTCATGCACACAATAAACCCAACAACTTAACAATGGGATCTTACAGATGTAAAAACATTCTATACAGCAAAGGATGCCATCATCGGAGTGAACAGGCAACCTACAGAATGTATAAAACATTCCTTACCTTTTCTACCACTAGCAGAGGATTGGTATATAGACTATAAAAATAACTCAAAAAAGACTAAGTATAAAAATAAAAGCCCAATACCAGAAATAGACTCCCTCTTTTTGAGTCTATTGAGCAGGGCATCCCATAGACCCTCAAAAAGTAGTGTGCATTGCTCCTGCTCATTTACCAACCAGAAATTGATGGTAAGATTATATTGCTGAAGACGCTACACATATGAGCTGCAGAAGACACAGGGAAAAAACAAGTTGGTGCTGACTTCAAAGACTCATTTATATTGCCTAGCTTTCATGTGGTGGAAGGTGCTATGCATACCACTGCAAGAGAAAAATAACTACTAATCTTACCAAGCTGTGAATCCTGTGACCTACAACAATGACTGGTCTGACAAGATAAGCCCACTGGTGCAATGGTGGCATGAATATTATGTGATTAACCAAACACTTTCCAATTGGATTTAAGGTCCACCTCATAGAATGAAGGTCTACCTGATATTGATATTAAGCCTAGGAACTTGTGATTAAATAGGCAGAGAGCCTAATGCTTTAAATAGTGTTAAACTGACTCATAATGACTTATTGTCATGCCCATAGATTAAAAAATGTCTTAACTCTCATCAGAGAAGTTTTCTTGTGTGGCAGATGGTGATTAATGAAGAGACCCACAGCTGGGCAATGTGTAGAGAACAAGAGAATACAGAGTACATATCACGGAAGAGTACATATCACTGCATATGTATATCAAAATTCTGCCTCCCAAGGACCAGGCATCATTCGGGGTGAGTAGAAAGATTGTAAGACCCAGAGGTGGTAGATGACTAGAGGGAAAAAGTGTTCTAGAGAGCTGGTCAGTTCCTCATGGTGACTCAATGATGACAGCATGTACAAGTATCAGGTAAGTTCAAACCAGACAACATCCTAGGATGGACATGGAGAGATGAGTAAGAAACTCCAACCTTACCTGAGGAACTGTTGGTAATTAGTGGCTGCTGAGCATGAACAGTGAGATTTGTGGTAGGTTGACCATTTTCCATTGGATGAACCCACACAAAAGTGCATTTCAGGACACAATTTTGAGGTACATGAAATTGTAGGGCACTGGGAAGTGCAGATGAAGGAGGGAATCTAAATTAAATAAAATGATATTGTATGAAATTTTCAAAAATCCAGTAAATAAATGCCTAAGAAATCCAGCATTGCTAGAAGATATTCAAAAGCAAAAAATGAACAAGCACAGAAGTAAACGTAAAGAACCTAATTAAAAATTTTGCAAGCAACTAAAGAGCATTTTCAGTTTCTAAGCACATGAATTCATTAGGAAGAGGCCATTCATCTTTGGAGGAATGGCTATTTCAGAAGAATACAAGGTGAGTCTAGATCTATCCAGCTGATCAGAAGTCAGGGAAGATGGTGGATTGGAGGGACTGCCTGAGTAGGTACTTAGCAATCTATGCCAAGGTGTTTAGCTAGGGTAGGTTAGGGATCTAGTGTATGGATCTGACACAGAGGAATTGGAGCCTGCTGGCAGGGACAGGGTCAGAGTGGGTGAGAAAAATGGAATAGAGATGCAGTGGGAAGGATCGTTCTTACCAAATTCCTTAATGGACAGGTCTGTCTGACTGATCAGGAGCCAGGGAAGATGGAGGTGGAGGGAATCGCCTCAGTAGGGACTTAGCAATCTATGCTAGGGTGTTTATCTAGTCTGAGTTAGGAATCTAGTCAAGGGATTTGAGGTGGAGGAAATGGAGCCTGCCTGGGTCCAAGGCTGGCTGAGATCACATAAGTATATCTTCTGAAAAGAAATCTATTCACATATTCTGAAAATTGTATTTTTCTTAATATTTGAGAAACAATATCAATGGGAGAATAAATGAAACACTTCAGAGGAAACACTAGGGACATACACCTTGGTGACAATGCACATTTTCAAAGTGTATAGGAAGAAATTTCAAATTTGCTAACATTAAACCCTTAAAATCATTCTCTTGGTCAAAAAGGATGACTTCTTAGTCCCAAGAACTCTTATTCACTCCTCAATAATTAAAACATAATTTAATGCTTTCTCTAGCATTTCCAGATAATAATGTGACATAGACACTTCAGTGACAAGTGTTGTTCACATTGTGAATGATGGTTATGCATGTCTGCCTTCATGTACCTGAAAGCCCAGGTATAGGGTAGACAGCTCACTAGTTGGCATAAGATGGCACAATAAAGTTAAGCATCACTGATCTCATATTACCTATGAGCTGTATAGCTAGAGTCATTCTATTTGTATCTAGGTCTTTCTGAGTTCCCAGAAACTGTGCTGAGGTTTCTAACTGAAGCGTAGAACATAGAAACCTGGAAATAGGTTAAAATATTCAGTCTACAATTTGAAAATTCTACTAAGAACTTTAATACACTTGTGAAAACTATGCATCAGAAACCCTATTTCTGACACAGAGCACAAATCATTTCATGGGACTACCAAGAAAGAGAATGAAACCCAGGAAGAAATAGTTTTGGAAACTAAATGATTAGAATATTAAACACAAAGGAAAAGGTGTAGCTTTTTTTTTAATGTGGAACTCTTCACGAATTTGTGTGTCATTCTTGCACAGGAGCCATGCTAATCTCTGGTCATTCCAAATTTAGTATATGTGCTTTCGAAATGAGCACAGGAAAAGCATAAGTTAATGGATGTTTTTGGAGGGTGGAGAATTGACGTAGTATCTCAATCTGTATCACAGGTTGGTCTGGAGTTCACAGAACAGACCTCAGCTTTTATAGTCCTAGAATTAGAGTGATGAACTACAGTAACTGGCTCTCAAGCGGTCTTTATTGAATATATTGTTTGGGACAAAATCTTTTTCTAAAGGAAGCTTCACGTGCCTTGCATTACATACAGTCTCATCTAAGACTACATTATGCAAATCACCAAAAACAAAAATGGCTGCATTCGTGTTCAAATATAGTGCTGAAATTCCATATTTCCACAATCCCTTATACATATTTCTTGTTGTACTATTCACAAGTCATCACTATATTTCCACTAAGAAGATGCTGCCTTCATGAATGCACTCAGTTCTGAGGAACTAGGATGCAGAAGAGCAAAGTCTTCTACCAGCTTCTCTCCTTTAGCTCATGGCCCACTACACAGGTATTGCCATGTATCCCACAGCAATAGCACATGTGCATTTCTCCATATTTAATAATACAGCTGATGAAGAAGAATGGAAAAGACTGTGTCTGCTGAATAACCCTGAAAGTTCAACTCTAACTGAATCTGCTTTGCATATTTCTCGTCTAGAGATTCCTCACCTCACACAGGTGCTATTGTTGAATCCCCAGAGCGTCCACAGAGTGTCTGGAGTGGATTAGCCCTATCCAAGCAACATCAGCTCTCCGTCTCCATGCTGTGATTTCTGTTGGCCTTGATACCAGATGAGACTAGGAATGGGATAAATGATTCCCTGAGTTTCCATCTCATGGAAGTATTCAGAGCATTATCAGAATAATTCATTCTGGTAACTATGTGCCTAAGAGAATCTGATTCTAGAGAAAACTGATTCTATGCCTAAAATCTTAAAATTCTAATCTCTACATAGTCATATGTGTTAAATAGATTGGATATTTAATTTATTTTTATTATTTTAAGTATGAAGATCTGCAAATGGGCAATGACTTAATCTAGTTTCTAGTAGCCATGGCCATCTATATTTTGGAGAGAATCACTGTCATTTGTAAAATTAATCCCGAATGATGAACTGAGAGCTTTTGTTAACAACACACCACGTAACTTTAACATGCCACAGTTAGGGATCTATCGCTCCTGGACTCCAGAGTCCTGAAGTGAAATAGGTCTGCTAAATCCTAACCACAATTTAGCTGTTCTACATGACACAGTCCAGAAAAACACAAGAAGCTCAGAAAGTAACCAACGATGACTAGTAATAATCAGATATGTAGAGTTTAGAGATGCATGTGCAAACAACTAAGTGTTAGTAGCATTAGAAATGTAGGAAACAATTTATTCTAAAACGAAAATGAAATCTTTTTTAAAGGTTAAAAATTCATTCAATTTTATGTCTTACAGGGCTTATACTGAGTTCAATATTGTATAACTGTATTATTTCAACTGTGATCCTAGAAACTTGTAGCCACTTGTGAAAGAGATTTATTCTTGCTCTAGAGTGTGTAACTGAATATGTTAAAGCTGTAGTGAAATGCTTATTCTAATCATGTATTTATTTAAAAATTTAAAAATGATTTAAAAGGTAATAATTCTTCAAAGCATAAAAATTTGCTCCTTAATTATTAGTAGATGTGAAAAACATTATCATTGAAATCTACCTGATGACTTTATATCCATTCTCAGATCGGAAG